ATAACAAACGACAGAAACTTTCATTACTCACAGCAGCGAAAAATAGAGTCCTGTGATTAACACTGGAAAGCCAAGCTGGAACATCCTTACACCAATCATTGGCTACAAGGATTAAGTACAGCATCTAATGCCAAAAAAGTAAAACCTTCAGAATTTACAGACACATCACTAACAAAACAGCAGCAACTCAAAAGAGAACCTTCAGAATTTGCAGACAAATCACTAACAAAACAGCAACCAGATCATAGATGTCTTCGGCTATCGGCTTCATGTGATCGTCAAACTCCCCAGCACCATTCATGGCCTGGACCATAGCCTCATCTAAGTTCACATAATCGGGTTTGTCATCCTTTAGGTAAACTCATTTTGTCGAGCTTTATTTAAATTATAAAGTCGCTTTAAAAATAATTGCATATCAAACACACCATCCACTAAAAACAAAGGGAACTCCAGAATTCAAGATGAAAAACAAATATGAATAAAACAAAAAGGTGACATGTTTCTTTATTTACAGAAATATAAGCCAACTCCAAAACTCCACACATTCTATGCACTAGTTTACACATTAGAGTTCAACTAAACCAAACTACACCACCTTATTATCAGCATTAAACACAAAATATAATAAAATGAAAAAAGACAAATTCTTCCAACGAAAACTTTCTTATGCTTCAAACATTCACGTAAAAGGAAACTCATATATTGAATAAATTACCGGTGTTTACTACTGGAGCGGGCTGTGGTGTGAACTCGTTTCAAAGGGGCAACGACACGGGCACTCCCAGAGCTCCCTGTAAAGAGTGATTCTTAAACATCCAATTATCAAACTGAAAATCCAACGCTTCGCAATTTATAATGTTTTAGAGAAAGTGGGAACTATCAGCTAGTACCGGACCTTGTTTGAAATTGACTACAGGCCCTTTAATCTGACTGCTTTCCTTTGCGCCAGCACCCTGGTGCTTATTAGAGTACACCTGCAATTGGGAAACCTGTGAGTTCAAATCGTTCAGGCTTGAATTATACTTGCTGAAAACCAACCACGACTCCAACCTGAGCCTGAGGTTGAGAAAATTGGTTCCCTAAGTTGTTTCCCACACTTTGATTGGGTGGTATTACGAATCTTTTACTCGTTTCATTCCCATAAGCAGTGTAGGCGGAACTATTAGAAGAACATGTCCCAGTGCTTCTTTGGTGCGCGGTACGGTGCACGGTGTGGGTCGCGGATGAGCGACAACTCTCCTTGGGCATTTTCTTGATTTCTGAGACGGGGCCGTTTTTTGAGAGCTTGGACCCAAGCGGACGGACGTTGTGCAGCTTCGAGATTGGATTTTTGCTAACTGTTGTGGGCTGTGGCAGCACGGGCTGCGGCCTGTAAACAGGGGCTACAGGGGTCCGGACCTGAGCCTGAGGTTGAGAAGATTGGTTCCCTGAGTTGTTTCCCACACTTTGATTGGGTGGTATTACGAATCTTTTACTCGTTTCATTCCCATAAGCAGCGTAGGCGGAACTATTAGAAGAATGGGTCCAAGTGCTTCTTTGGTGCGCGGTACGGTGCACGGTGTGGGTCGCGGATGAGCGACAACTCTCCTTGGGCATTTTCTTGATTTCTGAGACGGGGCCGTTTTTCGAGAGCTGGGACCCAAGCGGGCGGACGTTGTGCAGCTTCGAGATTGGATTTTTGCTAACTGTTGTGGGCTGTGGCAGCACGGGCTGCGGCCTGTAAACAGGGGCTACAGGGGTCCGGACTTGATGGTGCCGTGGGGCTGGCGTCTGAGCCAAAAGGGGTCTGGCTAGGGAGGTGTTGCTGATGAGGGGGCCGACAGCTGGCACGGGATTTGAGCCTTTCTTGGTTCGTTTACGCTTAGCCCGCCAGTAGTCATCTTTATCGGTTGCGTGGCAATGGTCGGAACTGGAAAGTCCAGTCCCCCAGAGGAGGCATGGGGCCACTGAATCGCACACATAACAGTAGCACTGAAATTTAAAGAAAGTTTTGAATCAAACATAGAATTGTATATGTGGGAGGGCATTTATCTGAGGAAAGTTTCATGTTTATCATGCGTCAATTCTATGATTTAGGAATTTACCTGTTCTTATTTTTGTGTGCGTGTGTGTGAGCATGTGAAATTAGGTGAAACCACAAGGGTGCTTTTCTTAATCATGCTTAGTAATAAATTACCAGGCTACAATGGATCTCGTGCCTAGTTGAAGCAAACCGATATTTCGCACAAAGATGTCGCGCGTGAGGGAAGTCTCTGCATGCAACCTAGAAAGCATAGAAAAAACAGACACAAGTTAGGTTTACCTTCTAATTAAAAACTGCACAAAGATTGAGCCAGAAAGGGAACCCACTCTCCGTCAATGAGTGATAGAATTGTGATGACATAGACAAATACCATTCCATGATCATGTTAACAAGTAAACATCACCCACAGGCTATCAAATATGGCCCAACTTGAAAGATATATGCATACATAAGCTGTAACCAATGAAGACTGTTGAGTAAAGATGATAATATGGCATACGAATTAAAAACGAGAAAAGTAAACAACACAAGATTTACGTGGTTCGGCAATATGCCTACGTCCACGGCGGCTGAGAGATCTTTATTATTCTCAATAGTCTCAAATACATCAATACACCATGTATTTATACTATAACCCTACAAAGTATTAATTTACTTAAATACCCTGTACCGTACCGCGGGGGCTCTGCCCCCGCACCCCGTCTATACCGCGGGGGCTCCGCCCCCGCACCCCCGGCCCAACTAATCGACCCAGCCCAACAGGGGCTGATCCGCTTCCCTCGCTCCGTTACGCTCGCAGGCATCAGCCTGCCCCCTTCCTTTGTCAATATATGAGCCATACCAACAAAGACCTCTCACCCGGGAACAGACAAACTAAAACTGAAAATTCAAACAGAACAAGTAAAATACACACACCCATACACAGACATATGAATGAAGCAGATAATTAGACATGTACTGTGCACAAAACAGCAATATTACAAAGGAGTTACACAAATTCTAGACAAAATAAGCATGAGAATGCAACTATACACACATCAATCAGTACTCAGTAGATCAAGGATAAATATATCAATTAACAATCAAGGATAAATATATCAAGGATAAAAACACACATATTACCTCGCCCTTCTCGGCAACAATCACCACATCATCGACCTTAACGCCAATTGATTTTGGCGTGGGTGCTGCCATCATCGACCTTCAGGGAAAAAAGCTTCAGGGGTTTTCAGTTTCCAGTGGGGGAGACAGGTCGCCGGAGTCAATTTTGTTGCGTGGTGGTACGGTTTTTTTCCGGCCAAAATCAAGACTCACGTCCTCGAATACTGTGAATTTGGTACACGTGGGCTACTGGACTCATGGGAAAGTACACGAAATTTGATTTCCATTTAAAAAAATATTAGTACAATACCCGTCTACAACACAGTGTTGAGTTAAGAAATATATGATGGAAGTTATTTATGCTAATACTAAACTTAACTCCAGAGCAAAAATATATAAAAAAAACATCACGAAACATAGATTTTTGCCATGTCAGTATCTGAAGCGTGAGAATGTACCACTTAGACTCAACACGTTTTGAATTAATATATAGGGAGGGATAAGGATTAGGGACAGTATTCACGTTGTGCATAATAAATTTATATAGAATAATGTATAAGCTATTTGTATTATATAATATTAAATTTATAAGTTAGATAATTGTATAATATTTAAACATATACTTATGCATATAATATTAAAATTATAATTGAGCTAATGGTATTATATTTTAAAATTTAATCATTAGTTAAAATAAATAACACATTGATTTGTTTGCATATGAATCACTAAACTGATTGCATAAAATGTTATAAATAATGTAATTTTTATCATTTTAAGTGATCATTATGATAACATCTGCTTATGTGATTTTAAAGATTTTACTATGACATTAAAATAAATTAATTTATTTAAAAAACAATCACTTAATCACATGAAAAATATAATGTTGATTTTAGAATAACTACTTGAACAAAATATTTTCGCAATACATTATGTTTATGTAATTATTAAAAATCAAATATGATCAAAAATATTGTTTTCTCAATACATATTTTCAAATAAGATCAAATCAGATATGATCAAAAATATTATTTCTTTAAATATTTTTTTTAATATTTGTAATAATTCATTGATGTCCATTATAATAAATTACAATATTGATTTTTGTGATTCATGTTGATAATATTTTGGTAAAGATAAATATTACAACATATGTTAAGTTCTAACTATAATATTTTTTTTCTTCACAAATTCACTTTTTATCCAAAAATATTTATATAAAATCGTAACATGTTAGGTAGAATTTTAGAAGGGATTGAATTTTGGGTATTTGCTAAATCAAAATTGTTGAATAAGTATACAAAATAAATTTCTAAACAAACATGTATGTTTATTTTTGTAAAATATTTATACACTATTTAATTTTTAAATTCATTTACATATTTTAAATTGATTACATAAATAAATAATACTAACATGCATTAAATATTTTTCATTATATAAAATTAAAAGAAAAAGAAGACATACAACTTCTATAACTTTTATAAATAATAATGACATTATATGACAAAATGTTTATAATAAAATAATAAATAAGTATTATATGGTAAACAAAAATGAATAAAACTATTATTTTCTCTTATATCAAGAAATAAATATATGCTAAAATCAAATTTAGATTACTATAAACGTGTAGTGAGATAATATATTAATTATTTTACAAGTTAACCTTAACATGCTCATATTTGATATATTTGATATCCTGACTAAAAAAACAATACTGATTAAAAAAAGTGACAAATAAATTATAACTCTATTGGTTTTTAGACTTAATGCTATTAAAAGATGTGGAAAATAGATGATAACCGTATTGCTTCAGACAGAGCCTCTGAAAGTACCTCATTTAATATCTCTTTCAATATCTCTTTCTCGTGCATAGCACAGATATGTACAAGTCACCTCTAAAATCAACAACGATTAATCATTCACATTACCTTTAAAATCAACTACTATTAAACATTCACATCATTAAGTTTGTCATCCTTTAGGTAAAACTTGTCAAAGCTTTATCCAAATTATACAGTCGCTCTAAACATAATTGCATATCAAACATAACATCCACTAGAAACAAAGGAAACTCCAGAATTCAAAACGAAAAACAATATCAATAAAACAAAAAAGATGGCATCTTTCTTTATTTACAGAAAATATAAACCAACTCCAAAAACTCTCACACATTCTGTGCACTAGTCTACACATTAGAGTTCAACTAAACCAACTACACCACCTTATTAGCAGCATTAAACATAAAATAAAATAAAACGAAAAAGACGATTTCTCAACCAAAACCTTCTTATGCTTCAAATCATTCACCTAAAAAGAAACTCATATATCGAATAAATTACCGGAGTCCACTGAATGGGCGTCTACTACTGGAGCGGGCTCTGGTGGGAACTCGTTCCAAAGCGGCAACGACAAGGGCACTTCCAAAGCTCCCTGTAAAGAGTGATTCCCAAACATTCAATTATCAAACTGAAAATCCAACATGTCGTAATTTCTTATGTTATCAAGAAAGTGGGAATTATCAGCTAGTACCGGACCTTGTTGGAAATTATCAGCTACAGGCCCTTTATTAGAGTCCACAGTAGACCCCGCGCTCTGCAATTGTGAAACCGGCGAGTTCAAATCGTTCAGGCCTGAATTTATACGGTTGAGAGTTTGACTAACAGTAGACCCCGCGCTCTGCAATTGTGAAACCTTCGAGTTCAAATCTTTCAGGCTTGAATTTATACGGTTGAGAGCTTCTTGACTAACTTGCTGAAAATCAACCGGAACTCCAACCTGAGCCTGAGGTTGCGAAAATTGATTCCCTGAGTTATTATTTCCCGCACTTTGATTGGGCGGGATTCCGAATCTTGAACTCATTTCATTCAGATAAGCAGTGAAAACCGAACTTTTAGTACAGGGCCGGAGCAATTGGCTCGGCTGAGCAATTCCACTCACAAGCGATGTTGGGTTCTGAGAAGGCAAGTAGCTCGCGTGGCCCACATTGACTGGCTGCTGTGAATGAGAAGAACGAGTCCCGAGAGTGCTTCTGCGGCGCGCGGTACGGTTCACGGGGCGTGGTGCGGACGATCGACGCCTCTCCTTGAGCATTTTCTTGATTTCTGCCATGGGCCCGTTTTTCGAGAGCTGGGACCCGAGGGGACGGACGCTGTGCAGCTTTGAGATTGGATTTTTGCTAATGGGTGTGGGCCGTGGGCCCGCGGGCTGCTGCATGTAAAAAGGGGCCACCGGGGGGTGCCCGATGGGGTAATGGCGCAGTGGGCCCAGTGTCTGAGCCAAAAGGGGTCTGGCTAGGGTGGTGTTATTGATGAGGGGGGTGACAGCTGCTGCGGGATTAGAGATTGGATTTTTGCTCACGGGTGTGGGCTGCGGCATATAAACAGGGGCCACAGGGGGGAGCCCGATGGGATAATGGGGCAGTGGGCCCAGTTGAGCCAAAAGGGGTCTGGCTAGGGAGGTGGTGTTGCTGATGAGGGGGGCGACAGCTGGCGCGGGATTTGGGCCTTTCTTGGTTCGTTCTCGTTCAGCTTTCCAGTACTCCTCTTTATCTGTTGCGTGGCAATGGTCGGAACTGGATAGTCCAGTCCCCCAAAGGAGGCACGGGGCCACTGAATCACACACATAACAGTGGCACTGAAATTTTTTAAGAAAGTTTCGGATCAAACATAGAATTTGTGTATGTGGGAGTGCATTTATCTGAAGAAAGTTACATTTTTGTAACAAAATGTATAATGATATCATAGAATCATGCATCGTTTTATGAATTAGGAATTTACCTTCTCTTTTGTGTGTGCGTGTGTGTGTGAGGAATTAGGAAAAAATTACCAGGCTACAATGGATCTGGTGCCCAGTTGAAGCAAATAGATATTTCGCACAAAGATGTCGTGCGTGAGGGAAGTCTCTGCATGCAACCTACAAAGCATAGAGAAAGCAGACAAAAGTTAGTTTTAACTTTTAATTAATAGCTGCACAAAGATTGATCCAGAAAGGGAATCAAATGTCTGTTAATGAGTGATAGAATTGTGATGGCATATACAAATACCATTCCATGATCATGTTAACAAGTAAACATAGCCCATAGACTATAATCAAATTATGATAAAAGTAGAACTAATCTCTCCCTCTCTAGTCTCTCCCTTACACAGACAAAGGACAATTACAACAGACTGCAACTTGAAAGATATATGCTTACATAAGCTGCAGTTCATAATCTATTAGGATGCAAATATGGCCCAACTTGAAAGATATATGCTTACATAAGCTGTAACCAATGAAGACCTCTTGCTCGGAAACAAACAAACTAAAATTGAAAATTCAAACAGAATAAACAAAGTACACACATCCATACACAGACATATGAATGAAGCAGACATTTAGACATGTACCGTGCACAGAACACCAAAATTACAAAGGAATTACACAAATTGTAGACAAAATAAGCATGAGAATGCAACTATACACTTATCAATCAGTAGATCAAGGATAAATATACCAATGAAAAATCTTACCGTGGTTCAAAGGAACGTAAAAAAGGACAATTACAACAGACTGCCAGGCTGCCACTTGAAAGATATATGCTTTACATAAGCTGTAGTTTCATAATCTATTAGGATGCAAATATGGCCCAACTTGATATGCGCACATAAGAATGAAGATTGAATGCCTCTCGCCCGGAAACAAACAAACTAAAATTGAAAATTCAAACAGAACAAACAAAATACACACATCCATACACAGACATATGAATGAAGCAGACATTTAGACGTGCACCGTGCACAGAACACCAAAACTGCAAAGGAAATTACACAAATTGTAGACAAAATAAGCATGAGAATGCAACTATACACTCATCAATCAGTCGATCAAGGATAAATATACCAAGGAAAAATCTTATCTAGGTTGCATTGAATGAACAAAAAAGAAAAACAACAAAATAAAAACACACACATTACCTCGCCCTTCTCGGCAACAATCTCCACATCATCTCCATCATCACATTCTCCATCGACCTTAACGCCAATTGATTTCTGCGTGGGTTCTGCCACCACCGGTTTATCAGGGTCACCTTCCAAAACCACACAATCATCATCACCACCACCACCACCACCACCACCACCTACAAAGTTACCAGACAGCTTCAAAGGCTCCCGCCTCGATTTCTTTGAAGGGTTCTGAAAAGCCCCACCCACCAAAACGAGGTCACACGATTCATCGCCCTTACCTCCACCCTCCTCATCGGAGCTTATGTCAAGTATCACCGGACCCGAATTTTCCATAGAAACACCTCCGTCAAAACCAAAAGAACTCATCTCTCTTCAATTCCCATACACAGAAATCAAAATCAACAAATTCAACAAAAGGATCGAGATTTCACGAGTCACGAATTAAGGAAAAAAAAAATACGAACGAAAAATAACTAAAACTTCGGAGTACGAATTAGGGTTCAAGAGGAGGCAAGTGGGCACGGCGGCAGCAGATGTGATTGGATATGGACGCAACAGGGGCTACAAGAATTGGGGGGAAAAAAACCCTAATTCCACAAAAGGGGAAAAGCTTCAGGGGTTTTCAGTTCGCATGGAGACAGTTCGCCGCCGTCTTTGTGGTGGGTCAATTTTGTAGATTATGGTACGGTTTTCTTCCCTTTATAAACCACGCCAAAATCAAGACTTATTTGTGTGCATGTGGGCCCATATTGGAAAAAGTACACGTTTAAATTTGATGTACATTAAAATATATCCGGATTAGATTCTACTAGTCATTTTTATACTTAGTACTGTTAGTAGTAGACATGGCCAAAAACGGGCCGGGTCATGACTCGGCCCGGCCCGCCGGGTTACCGGGTTGCGTTCTGACGACTCTGAACCGACACGGACATAGGATCGTGCCGGGTCCATGACCCGGCGGGCTGGACCGGGCCCGACCCGGGTTTGGACCCGGACACATAAAAAAATTAAAAAAAAAAAGAAAAAGAATTCAAAAGCAATGCATTTTTTTTGTGCCGGGCCCGGCCCGGCCCTCCGAGTCAAGGTCGAAAAAAACATGACCCTTGACCGGCCCGTTTGAAATCCGTGCTGGGCTCGAACCCATGGTCAACAGGTTTGACCGGGGCGGGTCTGTGTCGGTTCCGTGCCGCGTCTGCGGGCCGGGTGACCCATGGTCATGTCTCTAACTTGTAGCATTTTTTTTAATCAATGTTGTTTTTTAACAACATTAAATTTTGATTAACCCAGAAGTTTTTTTTTTTTTTTTTTT